TTTATATTATATTAATGTATTCAAAATTGTTATGTTTATGAAAATGGTGTTTCGTGATCAAGTTACGTCTTTAACATGCGACACATATTTCTGTGTTCTTATTCGATTCACACAACTACCCCTTCCTATATACTGTAGATTTTTTTTCGCTTTGTAACCGGGCGCTAGGGGCACAGCAATTGATATTTAACATAGCGCTTAATAGGTTAATATTTTGTGGTTCGGGTTGAGTACGGCTCTTTAGCTGGTATAGTCTTTACTAGACCCGTGGTTTTTATAGCTACGTAAAGTTGATGTTTCCTTTAATATTTAAGCATCTCTCAAAATCAGTACCAGTCCAAATTACTGAACTTGTTCAGGATTGTTGCGTTGCTGGAGGGTAGGTTGTCGGGTACTGAGGCCCCGGCTTTAAGCAAGTGTTGGAAGGAATAGGGTGGTTTTTAGTTAGTAACAGTTACAAGAATCACTTCCTCAAGAGTCTTTTGATGACTTTTTACCCACCGAACAAAGGGCGGCATAATCGGTCTTTGTTCGCAGGCGCTCGAATAGCTAGCGGCGGGCCTGATCTGTATTCACAATATAATGTCTCACAGTACCTATGTGTATAAAAAACCTTTTTAAATTTTAACTCTTCGTTTTAGCTTCATACTCTACAACTAGCACACGAAAAGGAGTTGATGCAGATGAATCTCCAAGTTTACCCGTTGCAAGAGGAGATTAAACTTCTCAACAAAACAGTGGAAATTCTTCAGGAGCGGGTGCGAACTACGGAAGAAAAGCTTATGAGGTACCAGGCTGGCATGAAAGACGACGTGCTTGCGGGGGGCGACAATAATTGCAATAAAAATAAAAGGGACCGTTAGCTTTAATTCAGTTGTCAAATTGGAACCATAGACACGCTACTTGAAGCGTGGCTAACAAGAGCGCGTAACTCGTGTTTCGGTTGATCCGTGACAGTTTCATTTAATGGTTTAATTGGGTCGTTTTTTTTAATTATTATAGAACCGTTAATGAAATTTTGATAATTTGGTACTTATCTACTTAATTAACGCTCTACGATTGATCTTTCTTTTTTTCTTTATATAAAATGCGGTATGTTTTATGTTTTATGCAAAAAATGCGTAGGATTTTTTTTAAACAAAAATGTAACATAAACTGACAAATGATAATAATCTGGTGTCGGTGTGTTGTTTGTGTGTAGCCGCTTTGTATTTTATATTGTTGGAAATAATAGTGTGAGCTCGTTGATGAATAATCCTTGCGTGCATAGTGAATTTTTTGTTATAGGTCTGCCTAATTTATGGGGGCCTATTTTATTTAAGCACAGATATGCCAACGAAACAAGTACAGTGTCAGTTAAATGACGTTCCTGTTGTGTAATTTCTATTTTACTTTTATTACAATAAGACACACTTAAGGGTAACAAACTTGCCGTATGTTCACAAAAGCAAGCACAAATTAGGATTACGGATCTACTATTGTCTCGATTTAGAAGGTGATACTTTATTTACAATTGTATTGTATTGGTATTAAGTTATATTTTTCAAAAGCCAGCAGTGGGACTGCAAAATCAAGTGGGTACCTAGTAGGTATAAGACATAAAAGATCGGTCAAGCGCCTAAATCGATGGCCGTCTGCATAGAAATTAAAAATGCAACGATGGGCATAATAAGATACTTGTTTTATTTGAGCACAGTGGTCGTACGGCCAGGTCGCACAGCGAACAAATTACATGTGTACCAAAAACTTACGTTGTAGTTGTACGTATTTCGCCATGTGAGGTTACCGGAGGCCCATATCTTTCCCCCGTCCCATAATCCTCAAATCAGTGACTCCCAAAAGGCCGGCAACACACTTCCAATTGCTCTGATGTTGCAGATGTCCACGGGCGGTGTCTTACAATCAGGTGGTCTGGTGAGGCCGTTTACCGCAACATCCCACAAAGACAGGGGCATTGTTTTTGGGTATTTCTTCTGATATTAATATGGTTGTGCAACTGAGTGGCGGCGACCAAATCAAGCCTTGTGCTTTTATGCTCCTTAAGTCTCTATAGACAACATGTATGCGTTAATTAGTCGTACCATACGACCATAGTGTACCAATGAAATGGGGTCCTAATATAAAATGGCAAATGACAATATGCTAAAGTTGAGATATATTTTTAAATGTTGTTTAGGGAAAGTCGATGACCGAAACGAGTTCTGCTTTTGATAAAAATAATCGAGTGATCAAAACTAAAACTTGATTCGCACGGTGGTGTTGGGTGTTGAAGTTGTTGGGCGGCCGGCTTTTTGAATGGAAAGTCTTGTCTTCAATTTGGTAAAACAATGTGGTTGGACGTCGTACGTAGTAGTATCAAAATTGAAGTGATGTGGAGGCAATTATGAAATATTTTTGAGAAATAAATGCTTGAGTGTATTTTCGTAAAATGTGCTTTATGTGCGACTAAAAGAGGTTCATTTTAGTGTGATGATGCATAAGAAAGGTTGTATTTTTCTAATAGATTCTTAGCACAATAATGTCGTTGCATTTATATGTTTAAGTAATTTGTTTGTATGTTAGATATAACTTAGAAATTATATAGATATACTCATGTGCCTTGTCCGTGTCTTTTATATAGTCAAATGTTTAACATATAAGGATTTTCTGGTCAAATATTAGTAAAATATTAGCATAGATAAGTTATGTTTAGTAGAATGTTATAAAATGTAAAGAAGAGAATTTGGTTTTGATGTAAACTGACAAACGGAGATTAATTTATCCTTTGGACTATTCGAGGGGGCTCGACAAGTTTCGAAGCAAGCCTGGGACTCATAAATACGAGTAAAGTCGCAGGACGCAACGCCGTTATTCACAAATTACACTATGATCTCTATTTCGTCATAGTTCTTACGAAAAAAGTTTAGTTATTAATATTTTTATTTATTTTTTTGTTGCGTAGCCCTATATGTTACAGTTATACTTTAGGAAGTTATGATTCGTGTATCATTTTATCGGTTGTTTTTTACTCTATAAATTACTGTTAAAAATAATCTAATTATGTATGTCTAACTATCTTAAGTATTGGTTAAAAAATCATGCAACTTTAATGAATGAAGTAATAGAATTACAAATTCCTGAACGATAATTTGAACAAAGGTACTTGTGCCTACATAATATATGTAATTCTGTTGCTGTATTCTTCGAGAATACTCTAATGTGCGCTGTACCTACGACTAATGACTAGTTTGAAACAAAGTCAAGGTTTTCTTATACGTAGCTGTAAAATGGGACCATGTAATTAGATATAAGGAATGCTTCGAGTGCCTAGATAGCCCACTTAAGATTATGTTCGACAGTTGTTTACGGAATAGATAACGCACAATACAGAATAATTTTAATATAGCCTAATATTTGCTGATTTTAAACTCTATTATGTTCTGAATAAGATTTAAAATTTGCAAATGTTACGCGCGAATACTGAAAGTACCTACTCAATTTTAAGTCGCGCTTAACTACCTGTCACTACAAATTCTTTGTAAAATCACACAGAAGGCACAATATTTAAGTACAACTTAAATTTTAGTAGCCTTTCAGTAGGTACTCGCGCGTTAGACTGATACATGATGTATACCTATTCGAACTTAAGCTGTTCCTATAACGCAAAAATTCTAGTCATATTTTCGTGAGTTTTTTAATTTAAGTTCGGACCCACCAATGACACAAGTACCAACTGTGGTGCCTTGTAATTGTACGAACAATAATAAATAAGTTTATTTGTGTACTTGAACGTGTTTTATTTGAACAATACAGATAACTTATTCACTTATCCAAATTTTACGCCCCGGCTATACATTTTATTGACCGTGTTATCTTTATTAAAAATCGGTTTGACGTTTACTTGTCATTTTGACGTCAAAATCACATTCATTTTTTCTTTTACTTGAATGGCACGGGTATGTTTTATATCTTTCTGGTCTACTTGAATTAGTAGCGATAGAAATTAACAATCAATAACAGATCGCTTGTAAACGAGAGAAAAAAGAAAAAGTGTTAAATGCAGCTAAGCATGCAACACCTACATTTCACTAGTTTGCATCTAAAGTGCAGTTTCTCTGCTGGGGCATAATTAGATTAGCAGACAGACTTAGTTCTTTTTAAATAAACTGGAATCAACTGTATTGAAAATCTCCACGGTTACATATATTTATGTAGATATAGGTACCTACTCTTAGACTAAGTACCTATTCAGTCGATTGTCATTGATTGAGTGGTAAACTGGTAGGTAAGGGACGCTACCGTATAAGATGATATACCGTATAAGAAGATGAAGAAGAGACAATCGCTGTCTTTCGATTTTCAAAAATCTGGTGGCGATGATCCCTATAAGGGACTATAATTCCCTCCCTGCAGGGGAGGAACTTACAACATGCAAAAAGTTAATAAAAAACGGAGTTTAGTAGCAATATTTTTTATTCAAATTGAGTTGTTACAAAAACAAAGTTGAACTATGGCTTTAAATTGTAACATTAGAACCACGTTTGGTTTTCAAGATTTTCTTGACTTAATGTATTTGGTATATTGATGAATTTGGACAGAGATCGGACGGCAGCGTATAGTTCCTTCCCAGTATCTTCTATTTCTTCTGGTGGTATGAAAAACCCTAGTTTTCCTTTGTCTCTACTCTCGATGACGTAGGCGTGTGTTACTCCATTAGAGTATGCCCAATCCACAAACGTGCCTGTAGCTGGGTACACTAGGTGGTATGTCGCTCCGAATGTGTAGTTTTCTTTGGTGGTTTTATATATTGACTGGAAAAAGTAATTTCATTATATATTAAATAAGTAGTTTATTTATACATACATAACTTCACGCCTATCTCCCATGGGGGTAGGCAGAGACTATGGAACGCCAATTACTACGATTCCTACATACCTCTTTCGCTTCATCAACAGTCATCAATCTTTTCATGCATGCTCGTCGATTAAGGGTACTTTAAATTTGGCCCTTCTTTAATATAAAGTATATATAAGTATCTTTATATACTTGAGATTTGCAGACAATAAATTATCAACGTGGGGCCCAAAAGATCAGTAGGTAAACTAAAGGGGCCAGTCAAAGTCGCAGAATCGATGACGGCTGGGAATAATTCGTTCCAGCTAGGTCGTAGGTAGGAGTCACAATATCTGCTAAATAGCTGACAGTAATTGGAGACGAAGAGACAAAGATAGAGGTCATTGAGGGGCTTTTTGAGAAGATGGTGAAATAAAAACTGACTAATAATGATTATAGGAAGTATGTATAGGTACCGCATAGGTACTCACAGTTTTCATTTTGGAAGCGACGGCTTTGTGCATATCAAGGTCTGGTGTGGCAGCCGTCCTTGCACTCCAAGGAAATAGAATCAGCTTCCCGTATGCGTGGAGATCAACTAATGCAACGGGTTTCGGTGTCAGTGATAATATTAAATCCTGGAAAAAAGAAGGGATTGCGAAATAGTGACTACACATAACATAACATCACGCCTTTTATCCCCGAAGGTGTCGGCAGAGGTGCACATTACGGCACTTAATGCCACTGTACAATGTAACACCCACTTTCACAATTTATGTTATGAGTCCCATGTAATAGGTGTTACCACCTATTGCCATATACCGGGCACATTTCCAGACTTCGTGCTACCACTGAGAAAAACCCAGTAATACTTTGCCCGACCCGGGTATAGAACCCGAGACCCCTTGCCCGGCAGTTGCACTTGCGACCACTCGGCCAATGAGACAATCAGGCAGAATAGTAACTTTACGATGGAAATGTGAAAGTTTATAGCACCTAAGAGTGCTTATGCTCGTCCTTATGACAAAAATTACTTAGGTAAACCCTTATGGTAGTGAAGGTTAGAATAATTAATCTGGTAAGTAGATCCATATAATTTAATACTTACATTAGACAGTTACCTACTAAAACTTACTCGTAACGCTGTTGATTCTGCTTCAGAAAATGGATATGGTCCAGAATATGTAGGTTTGCACTCACTGTGTTGTGTTATACCAGGAATACGCCAGTCAGTTCTGAAACATATATAACTTAAATAGGACTACCAAATTAACATCATGGATAGCCAGTGATAGACTACTGCGGAACCTCCTCTAAGTAAGAGGATTCGCCATAGTATCCATACTAAACAGACGTAGGACTACCTATGTTAATTTATATTTCTACTATGAGAATTATTACTGCTTTTTTTTTAAGTTCTCAGCAATGGGCTCACCCCCTATTACATGGGACTCATAATATAAATAGTGAAGTGGGTGGTACATACATTGGCATCAAGTGCCGTAATGTGCACCTCACCTCATTTAGGGATAAAAGGCGTGATGTTATGTTATGAGAATGTTTACCAGAAACTGCACACGCTGCTCTCAAGGGCATTCAAATAACATGACTTACTCAAAGTTCCTGTTAACGTCCACGCCATTACAGCTCAAAAACCTGCGTCGATTCTTACGCCACAGCCTGTCCACTCCGTGCGTGTACGCATATCCGTCAGGGTTTACCACAGGAATTATTAACCTGAAAATAGCTCTAGATTTTGAGATGAGGATTTCCTTGGCCTTGGCCTGCAAGGTCCATATTACCCTCTAGGAGAAAATCAGTCCTAAGATACCCTATATCCTCGAAAATGTTTACCTACCATGCGACACAGGGTGTGTTTAATTTCAAAAATGGACCCATTCCAGGCCAAAGTCACTTCCACTATGTCTTGTTTACCTACCTCTAGGCCGGGGTAGATTTATTTAGCTCTAGATTTGAGATATTGCAAGATTTTTATGTATAGGTACGCCTGGACTTCGGTAGCGCTCATGGCTAATGGTTGTTCTTCTAAAATAAATTACCTATATCTGCCATAAGATGTCCACTGCTGAACATAAGCCTCCGCCAAAAGAATGGGTCTTTCATTCATTCACTGTAAATTCTAACTGGCATGTTGAGCTTTTGGGATTAGGACCATCCAAAGCACAGCCTTGACTAAAATATGATTCATTAAATAAGATGGTAGCTGGTGCACTGTAGTTCGTCACTTATCTACTGAGTGTTTACTTACCAATTTTTATTTTTCATATAATTTTTTTGTGTATCGAAGTTAGTGACAATAGTGTGCAATATGTACAGGGCTGATGTCACAGAGATCCACTCGCGCGCATGTTGTCCTCCTGTTATTAAAATTATTTTGTTTCTGGGATTACCATTTGTAATGTTGATCATCTAAAACATTTAAAATACTGCTTGGCTATTCTGCAATGTCAATTCGAACTCTCGAAGTGAGCTGGATCGCATTCTCGCCTGTCATTGGTGGAAATTATTCTCATAACCAATGACATGGCGTACCGCGATCGATCTCACTTCGAAAGGTCGGATTGACTTCTTACAAAATAGGCTGGCTGTATTATCTCTATAAAAACAAATAGAACTCACGAAATTGGTATCTTAAGTATAATTTTAAACTTTATTATTGAAACGTAAGGCTGAAAATCTATTGAAAAAGGACAAATTAGTGTTGCATGAACACGTAATTTCAAATAGGTGCGCCCCATATACCTGGTGAAAGATAGTAAAAACTAAAAACCTTGTTTCCCATATCACGATACCTAGGTACTTCAATAAACCTTGATTTTATTAATGAAACAAACTAGTCCATGACATGAGGAGAAAGCCCGCATTAGATAACAACTTTGTCTTTATCTGACCCAATAACATAGCTAATGTCTATTTCCATTGGAATCTAAGTAATCATAGATAAGAAATGTAGTTATGGATATCGACTTCTCATTGTCATTGCCAACGCAATGACATATTCTTTCTGAAGGTTAAGTAGGTACCTACTAGGCGTTGCACCGTGGAGGCTCCGGAGCAGGTCTCTTTTAGAGGACCCGGTGCCTCCATTCAGGTGTTGAGGGTGGCCACCGGGGTGGTTTTAGTGAGGTAAAAATCCTACACTCCCTAGTCTTTTATCCCCAAAAAGGCTAGGCGCCTACTGAAGTTTTCCCACCGACATCAAAAAAAAAGGAACCTACTTGAAAATATTTTAGAGGCGTTCGAAAAGCCCTTTTGGCGTGTTTGTTCATTGTTGTGAAAACCTCGACCTTTTCTTAGCCCTTGTGCACTTGAGTAGGTTGGCCCACTGGCAAATGTACCTAGCTAGACAAATTCAGGCTAGGTATTCTAAGAAGTCTTCGGTTTATGAGACTGCTATTTACAAGTGTCTAGCAAGTTATATTGTGTCATTGTTTTCAATTCATTAATTAAGTACTCAACTACAGTAACGTATACAAGGTGTTGTTTTAAAGCCGCGTCATTTTCTAGGAGGTAACTCGGCTATCGATTCTAAATCAATAAAAAAATGGTAGGTAAATATTTTTCATTTTTCTGTAGATAACAGAAATCCGTAAGTGTGAACTACACGCCGCCGTCTTGTAACTAGCTTTATAAAGCGGCATTACACACACAAACTCAAACACGTAATTATTATTATTCCTAATTCCATAAAACTCCAATAAGAAGCATTGCTGTCGCTTTTTCTGAAATACTGTCCAACTTAAACGATTTATTATAGCCGTATTTTTAACTAGTGGCCCGAAATTTTCTCTTACATTGAACCTTTATGACTTCTGTGACATGCCCCCGAGAACTGACACGGCTTAACTTTGAAACTACACCTTGTATAATAAAAGTTTATTGGT